CGTCCCCCCACAACAATAACTTCCCCCCTCCCCCCCACAACAATAACTACCCCCCCCCCTTTCCCCGTTATAACACACATTAACAGGCAGACTCCATATACAGTTTCAAATATAATTTGATTGACCCAATAGGCTCCGGAATCTGTACACCAGTTGACTGACAGCTGAGAGGCGGGACCAAAGAGCCAAAGCTCAACCCCCCCCCCCGCAAGCATAACTAGGTGAGTATATTCTACCACTACACTTCTCATTAACGCCCCCCCCCCTCAGAACACACCAGTAATGACAACGACGCTACACAGGAAGTACCTTTTCAAGGATGGTACACCTTGCCATGGTGAGTTTTCATGTATCCTGTAGCACAGTTGTCCCCGGCTAACAACCGACGGACCCGGGTTAATTTTCCGGTCGACAGAAACGATTGGGGTACATTTCTTTTCACCCGATACCTCTGTTCATCTAGCAGTAACATAGGTACCCAGAAGTTAGGTAATTGTTATGGGTTGCATCCTGGGAAAAGTCTTCAATAAACTTAAGTATAGGGTTCCCTTCTACCTCGTCCTCCTAAGCTTTCCCAACGTCAAGAAAATGGTAAATTTAAAGTTCCTCTTCCAACCTACCAGAGGACCCAAAACAGAAAACAGCAAGTCACTTTCGCCAGCCGCTTCCATTTTCTAGTACAACATTTTTTGGTTTGTAACCCATACGAGGGAAATGCGACGTTCTTTATAGGACAGGTTGTCCTGTCACCGTTTGTCGTTTTAGATTCGGCTACTGGGAACAAAAGTTCCACAGTAGCACGGGCTATGGTGAGCCCGTAGTGGACTTACCTGGCACAGGAGCGGGGCTGTAGCACGGGCTATGGTGAGCCCGTAGTGGACTTACCTGGCCCAGGAGCGGGGCAAGTAGCATGGGCTATGGTGAGCCCGTAGTGGACTTACCTGGCACAGGAGCGGGGCAAGTAGCACGGGCTATGGTGAGCCCGTAGTGGACTTACCTGGCACAGGAGCGGGGCAAGTAGCACGGGCTATGGTGAGCCCGTAGTGGACTTACCTGGCACAGGAGCGGCGCTGTAGCTACCCTGTCACCGACAACGGGAAATATATTATAGAAGAAGCAAGATTGCATAAGCAGGATTGGAGCTAAACGTATGGGTGTATAATTATAATAAAAGTTAGATTTTTGTTACTTTTATACAAATTTGATAACATAATGATTCATTCAAGTCTAACCATACTGCTTAGCATTCTCCTTTTATAATTCCTGAATCGATTTACATATAAATATACTTGTCATTAGCGGTCGTTAACTTGATAGCGTTTAGGGCCCACACAGGAATGTCCAAAAAAAACTTAATATGTTAAATTTAACAGATGTTTGTATATTTCACCGATACATTGCTCCCGAGGAGAGTACTGCAAACAGTATTTTTTACCTGGGAAGTAGGTGGGAGGAATAACCGCTGGTGCGCCGCACCTCCAACAGAGTAACGGTATCCGACCAGCCATGTTTACACTGGCTACAGGGGGACGGAAATTCCCAATATTATGCTACTGATGCTAAAAAGAAACTTGCTGTGTTACTTCTGTGCATTCCTTGGCTTATTCGTGGTGCATAGATGTGACATCTATAAGAAATTAAGATTGTATGATATATACATAAAGTCCTCTATGGACATTCTGAGAACATGGTGGACAACAGAGCAAAGCTAACCTAAACTTATCTTACCTAACTTAGCCTAGCCTAACCTAGCTTAGACTAGCTTGACGTAGCCTAATCTAATTGTGTAGCCAGGGCTCATCTGACCCATTGGGGTCGTCACTCCCATATTCCCTCCATGTATAGTCTATTCTTGTATTGTCATCAAATGTCAATAGATTTATGGTCAGACAATGTAGTTAATGAATTTATGGTTGTACAAACAATACAATCGGTAGACTTATTATCATATTAGCAATACCGGTATTGTTAGGACGACCGTGAATTCGTCGTCATAATAATCAGTAAATTTTGTATTATACAATAGTGTCAAAACAGACGAATCAGCAGAAAGCTGTTGTAGCCACCCAGTATTATATAATTCTTAACGTCATTGATTGAATTGAATTGAGTATTATATCATTCTTAACGTCACTGATTGAAAAATACGTATGTATTTTTGGACCCCCTCACGAAGTTCATCATTAGAGTATGGATTAAATTAAGATGAGGTAAAGAAGGGGGCATCTGTGCGCCTTGGTGAAAGTCACCCCAACGACCTTTACAACAGGTTAAGGGCATCACTACACCTTTTCATTTCTTGGAAGTCCGTAGCCTAAAATTCATAGATTCGTCGATATGTTGGATATTATTGCTTTACCTTAGCGACTATTATCATAAAGAAAGGACTCCTCACATGCACTACCACAATATCTTCCAAACACCATCATCAATCCCCCACACTCACCACAATCACATATGGGGGGCCTCGCGGCTAAGTGGACAGTGCTCGGTGGTCGTAATCCTAAGGGGCTCCCCCTAGTTCGATTCCCGCCCGAGGCGGAAACAAATGGGCAGTTTCTTTTACCCTGATGCACCTATTCATCTAGCAGTAAATAGGTACCTGAGAGTTAGACAGCTGCTACGGGCTGCTTCCTGCGTGTGTTAGCGATAAATGAATGTAGTAGATATTATAGAGGATAAATAGGTTGGTTAGAAAGGCGTGGTCCAAGAGCTAATAGCTCGATTATGCAGACACAAATAGTAATAGTAAATACAATATCTACCAAACACCACCATTCCGTACCCCCAGAGGAGGGGCTGTAGTCCAGCAACCCACCATCGCTGAGACATAATGGCTGGTATAGCCTTTAAGGAAGGCGGGCATAACGGCGATAATATTGGTGGTGTGGGCTGCAAATTACATTCCCTTGGCGGATGTCAGCGAGAGGAGGTACAACTTACAAGGGATGCATATTATTCACCTCATCCTGTCCAGGGTGGGGCTAGTTTAGGCTACTAGTGTATTCCTTCCAGTATTGTATACCTTCCAGTGTATTTATGACTATAAACTTGTACTTTTATTATATAATACAAGTACAAGTGTACAAGTATAAATAATAAAAAAAAGTGTATATATATAATGCAAGTATATACTACAACTTAGTATATTAGTATATAAGGCTAAGAAAATAGGATTTAATATTTTTGGTATAAAATCTAGTTAAAGAGAATGAAACTGTGTGAATTTTCACCAATAAATATACTTATAAGGATAAATTCCCTCTTGTTGACCTGACCATCAAGCTCTTGGAAGTTCCTCATTTCAGTTTATACCTGAGTGAACCTCCCTACCTGCAACCTGTCCTCTGGCTAGGCTTCTTCAACCCTCGGTCAATCCCAGAGACGCATTTATCAATGCTAACGTTCTGTATATTCAGAATTTGTATTTTCTCAAATAGGACTAAATTAGGTTAGGTGGTTTCGGTTCTATTGCCAATTATTGCTATTTGTAGTGCATGGATGAAGCGTTTACACAGTTTCCATTGGAGCAGACGTGGTCAATTACTATTGATCTCTGCTTGATATACCAGACATAACTATTAACTTGAAGTAAGTGTAGGAGCCGCGCTGGACGTAAACAAGCAATTATGGAAGCCGAGAGGTAGACAGACGGATGAACACAAACTCTCGAAGTATAGGGGATGGCTTCCAGAGAGAAAGTTTCCCCCCCCCCCTGCAGGTAGTAAGCAATTAGCGTGACCCCACACTAGTATTTACGTAATCTGCGAGGGACGAGGGAGGGTCTGGGTGAGATTATAGCCTCTGGGACCTACAGCGTGGGTGATGGTCCAGGTGGGCCGGCTAAGTTGCTTTACGAATAGTTTGATTTGGTGTTGGGCTTAAGCCTTTCAACTTCTGGAGGGTTATCAAGGCCGTGACACTTTTTTATCGACCAATTAAATATATTTTAGATTTGAACATTGCAGAGAACCAAAGTAAACGACGTATATACACAGAAGCAAGGTACATGTCCCTGTTACAGGTGCAGATCGTCTAGGAAGGAGTGTACCGACAACGTTGGTGATGATGGTTCAGGCAGAAATGGTGCAGTTATTGCACCAGTATGGAAGGTGTGAGTGGTCGAGAAGTAGCTGTACTATTCGCTTTAGGTGTTGGTGCAGACAGGAACGGGTCAGGTGTTGTACGGGTGGTCTAGGAACGAGATGGTCCAGGAACAGATGTACCGGTAGTTTGTGGGTGGTGGTGCCAGTATGGACGATCACACATGTGTGTGCGTGGTTCAGAGCCAGACATGCAGGTGGTGGTGCAGGCAGGTACGGGTCGGTTGTGGATGGTCCAACAGCAAGAAAGCGGACATATTTTTCCCTTTCCCTCCAGAAATACCCCTCCCCCCCTCAGTACATATCCCCCAATGATATACTCATCCTGGAAATTTCCCTAGACATATTTTTCCTGGAAATTTCCCTGGACATATTCTTCCTGGAAATTTCCCTGGACATATTGATCCCTGGTGTCCGGACTGCCTGATTTGTCTACCGTACTATAAAACACATGTATTGAGTCAATATAGCATCCCATACTACAAAAATGACTGCCTCTAACAACTATGAAACGTGTATTGCTCTAAAACGGTTCACGTTTTGCATTGTAATTCTAAATGGCATTTAAATATTGAAACAACCTAATCGGTCCTGGGGCTAAATAAGCACTCAAAGGCCTACCATACCCAATATTAGGCCTATTTTGGAACATGCGTACTATACGAATCCTAGTGTTATTTGTTTTTTTTGTCTATTTTTATGTTCTCTTTAATATCAGTTATACAATATTTTTTTTTTGGGGGGGGAAGGGGAGTAACAGTCTACATTTGTGTATATTTCATTCACAGTATCTATAATTATTGTAAATTTTGGAGGATAGGATGTAATATAGTACCCTGATGCCCACAGTTATTCAACCTTGACCTACATAACATCCTGTATAATATTTTTTTTCAGGCGGTTTCTGTGGGAGACAGACACAAGGCTCGCTCTCCGGCTGGTTCGTTCAGTTACAGCTCTGTGGTTCAGCCTGAATGGCCTGTGTTCTTACAATAGGTAAATGATCTTCAGTTGATTGTGGTGTGTTCTGTATTTTATATCTAATACTGTCATTATAATTGTAACAATGTCTAGTGTTCGCATAATATTGTTCAGTTATTAAGCATTGTTATAATGGCTATCGCCCTATTTATTCTAATTCTAATGATAATGATCAGTATTAGGCTATAATTATTACTTTTTTAAAATGAGCAATTTGCTTGAAATTAAGTTCAATATAAGATATATATATAGTGTATATCAACCATATATGGGCTATTATTATTAATATTTGTCTTGTATAAATGAGTATGTAGTGTACTTGAAATTTGTCAAGTGCCAATTATACATATATACAGTATACATATATACATTCGTATGTTGGTTTTAGCACAATTTTTACATTTCATTGGTAGTTTGAGCTGACTATTTACTCTGTACTGTGTTAGGTAATGTTACAGTGTTATGTTAGGCTTTTGTTCAGTGTTGACATTTGATTTCTGGAACCTGTAAAACCTATTTCCCGTGTGGCTAGGCCTGAGGTGGTGTTCTGTCCCTGTTCTTCTATTGTGCCTCTTTAACTGTAGGTGTACATGAGGGGGAATGATTTATAGGTGATGCAGGTGTGGGTATGGTGGACAGGTAGTGTAGGTGGGGGGGGGGGTGTACAGTTAGAGTAGGTGGGGGTGGTGTACAGGTAGTGTAGGTGGGGGGTGGTGTACAGGTAGTGTAGGTGGGGGGTGGTGTACAGGTAGTGTAGGTGGGGGGTGGTGCACAGGTAGTGTAGGTGGGGGGAGGTGTACAGGTAGTGTAGGTGGGGGGTGGTGTACAGGTAGTGTAGGTGGGGGGGGTGGTGTACAGGTAGTGTAGGTGGGGGGTGGTGTACAGGTAGTGTAGGTGGGGGGTGGTGTACAGGTAGTGTAGGTGGGGGGAGGTGTACAGGTAGTGTAGGTGGGGGGGAGTGGTGTACAGGTGGGTACGGCCATGAGACGTTAGACCCGTTAAAAACTGGTCGTCCAGCTAGGCCAGATGTTGTTCACGAGCCTCGTTGTGTTCTCCTGCCTCGCCTTGTTGTTCACCAGCCTCGCTGTGTTCTGGGACAGGAGGGAAAGAGAATGGGAGAGGGTGAGGGAGACAAAGGAAAGTGAAGGGGAGAGAGAGAGAGAGAGAGAGAGAGAGAGAGAGAGAGAGAGAGAGAGAGAGAGAGAGAGAGAGAGAGAGAGACAGGGAGGGGGGTGAGAGACTTGGTAGAGAGGGAGAGAGGTTGGAGGTCAGATGCTTGGGGTTACCCTCGCCAAACTTTCCAATATGATACATGGAAGATATGGGAGTGTCATAGTCCAATCAGGATTGACACCAGTGATACAGGTTCAGAAATATTGACATGTATAGCGAATCCCCCCTCCCACTTCCCTGCGATTTTTTTTTGTCTGAAATAGATGCCGTACTGAAAATACGGAAAAAGGGAGAGGGGAGAGAGATCCGGGCGCATCCGAGTACCCCATCTACTATGTTAATAAAAAAAGTTGTAATATTACATTTTCCGATAAAGAGAGAGGGACATTTTTAGAGGGGAAGCTGTTCAAGTAACCTGTACTCAGGAATGGTGCTCTCATGGTGGTAATGGTTTTAAATTCACTACATAATTAGTGCTATCATCTACTCTCCATTCATGGTTAGACTAGGTCAAGGTTTGGTTAGGTTTTATTATGTTTGGTTACATTAATACTGTGTATTGACAAATATGTTAGATAACGAATTCAAAAACTATGAGTGTAGCCGAGAATTTCGTTTACAGAATACCGAATTTTTCAAACAATTGCAAAGAAAAAATGTTCAGCATATACTCCTAATATTTTAAACCAACTATTTATAATACAATAAATTATAACTTGACAATAAGGATTAGTTATTGTTAAGGACAAAATTCACTTATCAGTTTACACGTAGATTATTTATGGGACCATAATATGCTTTCAGCCCATCACAAACATCTAGATAACTACCCAGGTGGTGTGATCTCTCGTGGTAATGTATTTGTTACCTTCTTTGATGTATGGTTGTTGTTGGCTTGTAGAGAAAACGCAGATGGTCACTCCTGCAGTTTATTGAGTAAGGAAAGAAAGTATATAACTGGCCAGCCGAGGTCCTCCCTACTGTGAAGGTCTGTGAGGTACTGACTCCTCACTGGAACAGTTAGTTCCAGCTCTCTGTTGACGTCAGAGGCTTACTTGACTGTGATTGGTTACCTCTCAATCGTCGTACAATTTGAATACTAACAAATGGATTTGCTCAGAACGGGCATTTATCTTTATATCCATCCATCGGCTTCCTGTCCTCCTCGAAGTTTAGTTTAGTTCATTTATTATGCACCCCATACCCATCCTGTGTGCGGTAGTGGAAAGGGTTACAGAGGCACATAATGGGCTCAGGGACTTGAACCCCACAATTCATTTAGCTAAATAAGTTACAATCTTGATGAGCTAGTTACAACATTCACTATTGTTAGTGGCCCCCAGGCAATCTCAGTTAACGATTTTCAGCTTGTTTTAATATTTTTTGATATTCAAGTCATTTAAATATGAGGAGAAATCTGTAAACCACATCAATCAACAATTCCACACGTCACATAATACTTGACTAAAAAAAATTCATTCGTAAAAAAACAGACGAATTTGATAATGATAATGTTTATTCAGATAAAAGTACATACATACAAAATGAGTTACAATATTGGATTTCTAGACAGAGCAAGTATATACTGTGACTAAAGCCTCTAATACGCACAGTGGTAATAATTTCATCCAATACAACAAATCATTTAAGGAGGGAACCTGTACTAAGCCAACGAACATTGTCATCCTGTGTACACAGAATTCACCTCGCTCAGTATGTGCGTGCTTTAAATAAAAAATACAATTTTCATTACTTCAGTTCCTTAAGGCCAGCTTTTGCACAAAAGGCTTCCTCGTGTAAATAACAATGATAGCCTACTAATTGATGTCCAATATGTTTTGCAAATACATTTACCAAAGCTGCTTTGCCAGTCATGCTGGGTGCACCATCAATTGTCATAACAGCTGTTTATGAAAGGTCAGCCTGTCGATTACACTTATATATTTATTTTGGGTGGGGTTTAAAGAATCAAAAGGCAGCATTGCATGGTGGCAAAATTTGCTCGCGTGCCATTCTGGGCACGCATGCCATAGGTTCGCCACTCTGGCCCTACTGAACTTCTCCTGGATGCACTCTACGACAATGGTCCAATTTCAGTCCATCCTCTTGAGTTGCCAAATTAATAAAAAAACGGTGTACAAGTTAGATAGGTGAACATAGGGATTTGGTCAAAGGAAATGTGCCCAATCGTTTCTATCCTGACAAGGAATTGAACCCAGGTTCCTTGATTATAAGTTGAGAGCGAAGCCAACTGTACTATGAGGGTAGATATTTACCTGAATTTAGCTGATGGCCACCATTTTTCTAATAGCCTCGACGGGGCAGGAAGCCGGCAGTTTGTCAAAAGATCCGACCATTTTTCCTGATGGTAACCTTTTTTCCTTTATCCAATAGGATTTTGAACTGCAGCAATGCTTTGGCATTTACGGCTTCGGCGGGTAGGCGGTTCCAATTTTTTTAGTATAACCCTATGGGTGAAAAAGTATCACCTGTTTTTTGTTCTTCATTTTGACTTGAGCTTTAAGTCGTAGCTCCTTGTGGTCTGTATCAGTATGTTTCAAATTGTTTAGCATCTTGACAGTCTCCATGAGATCAGCTCTGTCATGTCTGGTTTGTGGTAGTGTTAATCCTTTGGCTCTCAACCGTTCCTGGTACGAGAGTCGACTTATTCCTGCGATGAGTTTAGTCGCCCGGTGTTGAACTTTCTCCAAAGGTGATACAAGTCCTTCAGAAGATGTCTCCGTGCGTGGAAACAGTGCTTCAGGTGGCGGGTGTACCAGAGATCTATATAGATCTGAATCTATAACAACAACAACCAGAGATTTGTACAGCTGAATAACTACCTTCTTTTCCTCTGAAGTCAAAGGATAGTTTTTCATTCCTAGGGTTTATCTTATTTTACTACAGTTCAATCTTGTGCAACTTTCAATGACTGGTGGATTCTGACTCTGTCTTCAGAGCCATTTATGTCTAGTACATACTATTATGGAATGATAGACTATTACTTCAAAGTGGTCACAGACAAGAATTTCCGTACGGATGTCATGATTTTTCCATTGTTATCAGATTATTTGACTACAGAAGGTGCTCTAAACGTACATATGCGAGGCCGGTCACACAATCATTGATGACAGTCAAGCAGCCATTGTTCTCTCGTTCTCGTGTCATCCATGGCCTCAACTTACAACATCCGCCTTGCCGGCATTCTATGCCTTTCATGTAAAGTTAGCACCACATACTGGGACACACATGTGCAAATGGAATGCACTAGGCAGTGATGTGGTGGAGGCTGACTCCATACACAGTTTCAAGTGTAGATATGATAAGAGCCCAGTAGGCTCAAGAATCTGTACACCAGTTGATTGACAGTTGAAAGACGGGACCAAAGAGACAAAGCTCAACCCCCGCAAGCACAAATAAGTATATGTGGGAAGGTTAGGCTGGGTAAGGAAAAATGAGAAACGATTAGTTTATTTTAGTTGAGGTACCTAAATACCAAGTATATTTAGGTAAGTGGTGTTAGCATTTATGAGGTTAGGTTAGCATAGTCTAGGACAGGTTATGCTTGGTAAGGTTTGATTTGTTTGTGTGAGGTTAGCTTGAGAGGCGCTAGCTGACCTCACAGCTCATTGGCGCCCTCTATCTTTATTTTCTATTTATCTGAATAAAGAGAAAATGTAAAAAATTGTTCGTCGGTGAACGTGGCAGTCCAAGTTGGTAATCACTTCCCTCTTTACGAGCAAAAGTCTTGGCTAACTCATCCGTTCTATCATGCATTCAGAGACCAATATGGGAAGGAATCCACAGGAGACAAACTCTGCCTGCATCATTGATTATTTCATTATATGTGTGAATGTGGCATAAACTCATCCTCCTGTTTAGACAATACCTATTGTGACGGTCGTCAATATTCACGAATTAGTACGTACTGAGCTTTTAGATAATAATATACTGACTAATAAGAAATTCCTTTAAAATAAATGAAGTACAAATTTTTTTTTTAAATATTCCTAGGTCTAGTATAGCTCACACATGTACTATATTAGGCCTCATATCGTGTATTAGGCCTAGGGAGGTTAGGAGAGGTTAGTTTAGTTTGACAAAGCAACAAGTAAAATAAAAAGCTTTCCGGTTTGTCCAACTCGATAGTTCAGATTTCTACTTTCTAATTTCGTTGTACGTCGGTATATATATAATGGTCCTCATCGTTACTATAAGTACTACCAAAATAGGAGGCTAGGCTGTGTTTTTTTTTATCTATTAATATTAGCAGTGCTAGGCTATATTAACAGTGCAAGGTTATATTCTTAGCAGTGCTAAGCTATGTTCCTAGCAGCCCTGTAGCTCTCTGGTGTAGGTCCTCGGCCGATATTCGAGGGTCTTGAATTCGATTCCCGGGCGAGGGAAGGGAGGGAAATATCGAGGGAAAGCGCCAAGCCATTGCGACTATATAGTATTTGAAAGGGATCAGGATAAGGATTAGAGATGAGACGGGGGGGGGGGGGAAGGAATAGTGCCGATGGTCGGGGATTAAACGCCGACCTGCAAAAAGCGAGACCGTCGCTCTACCGTCCAGCCCAAGGTGGACAGAGACTGATGGGCACGTATCCTTTGACCTGATGCTTCTGTGCACTTAGCAGTGTATTGGTACCCGGGAGCTTGGCAACTGTCGTGATTTGTCTCCTGTAGAAGGTGTGTGTGTGTGTGTGTGTGTGGCCCAAGGGGACCTCGATAGGCACAAGCTTTCTGTCTTCGACTGTATTCACCTATTTGTGCCTGCGGGGGTTGAGCTCTGCTTTTTCGGCCCACCTCTCAACTGTTACTACTATTTTTTTCCACACATACAGCCAGGAAGCTGCCCGTAACCGTCTAACTCCCAGGTACCTGAACAAATCCACAAGGGCCGTGACGAGGATTCGAACCTGCGTCCGAGAGCATCCCAGACGCTGCCTTAATCGACTGAGCCAGGTACCTATTTACTGCTAGGTAAAAGGGGCATCATGGTGAAAGACACTGCCCATTTTGTTTCTCGCCGGCGCCGGGAATCGAACCCGGCCCACAGGATTACGTGCCCAGTGTGCTATCCACACAGCCACCGGCGCCCTATGTGGTCAAACCATGAGGTGAACTATATTGTTAGTAGCCCTGGGCTATTGTTAGCATTCCTCAGTTATATTATTAGCATTGATAATAATGAAACTATCAATCCTAAAAATACCGAATAGAATTACATATAGGCATTTGTAGACGAGGCTTTGAACATAATGAATTCTAAGAACTATATTAGCTTGCCAATCAACGCCTTGGATATTAACACTCAGGCATAGAACGGAGACATTTGCTTATGTGGTAACTTTCAGTATTGTAAATAAGTGTATGAGCGCTATGTGCAAAGACCCATATTTTAATTATAAATCTAAGTCGTGAGCTAAATACAGAGCTTCTACATAATTATGACATAACAGAATTATGCATATTTAAAATTGCAGTTTAACTACATAGAGGCCGAAGACTAAGAAAAGATAGTGACTTGTTTTTCAGGAGGGCTTCGACACCTGACCTACTGCGCAGGTGCGCACAGAGTGAGTTTTTGTCCGGGTCACGTGATAGTTGGTGGCAGGTAGTGAGGACGGGTTTGTGAAGGTCACCGGACTGAATTCCCGGTTCTTCATTTTTGTTAACAATGCATTCACCAATAATACATTTAAGAGCCCCGCCAATGCCAGTAACATTGTCTACGCGCCATCAATATAACTTGCATCACTATCAAAATCATATTGATGCCATCAGCCCCTTACAATGCTAGTATCATGAGTCGTACCATCAATGCCACTTTTTGTATTATCACATTTAGGCATATGCATGTGCATATATGCAGCTGCCCTAGACTACATGAAGGGGAACACAGTGTGTTTTCAAGCTACAGGCTATTCGCGCTCATGCCACCTCGTGTGGTGGCATAATCTTCTTCAATCAATCACCAGTGTTTCAAGAGCTTGCTACGTGATGCTAAAAAGTCCATCACGACGGATGGTTCGACATACAGGGTTATGTGATCAGACGTCTACACAGACAAACTTAGGATGCATTATGGGGATATCCTCAAGAACACGTGTTTATAAAGTAATTGCAAAGCTCCAGGTACCTCATGCTGGCAGGCCTGACAGTTGAGTGGACAGCGCTCGGGATTCGTAGTCTTGAGGTTCCGGGTTCGATTCCAGGTGTAGGCGGAAACAAATGGACACATTTTCATCCTGATGCTTCTGTTCACCTAGCAGTAAATATGTACATGGGCGTTAGACAACTGCTACGGGCTGCTTCTTGGTGGATGTGTAACAAAAAGGAGGCCTGGTCGAGGAACGGGCTGTGGGGATGCTAAGCCCTGAAATCATCTCAAAATACTGTAACCTCAAGAAGGTCTGAAGGGTCTAATGCAGCCCGTCCTCATAAACAAAGGCCAAAAGTGATTCCATGCACCCACCAAACCCCGTTTATGAATGAAAAACAGTTTACACACGACTCGACTGATGATTTTGAACACTTCCGGAACAAGTACTTCACTGACAAATTTTGTTCGAACCAAAATGCTGTAAATGATTCACCCATGTTCTACAAATAATCGCCAACAGAACTTAAACACCTAACCGTACCCTAAATATGCACAATATGCCAATATGTAATAATATATATTTGAGAAATTCCTGTTTTGAACGGACAGCATGTTAAAATTGATGAATGCATCTTTGGGGTCGACTGCTGGATGGAATGGATTTGGTCTGAGATCGGGTTGCCTAGTGACTGGTCATTCAATAATGTAGTGCATAAGATAACGACCCAGTTCCTGCCACAGTTTGTACCTGGAGTGCTCAGGATTGGGAGATCAGTCACCTGCTACAGGTAACGGTAACCTAACCTGATCCTGGCAACCACTGTCGCAGTCTAGTGGACGGTTTGTGCTGCTCATATGCATGGGTTTCGGATCTAAACAAATCATACAATTTTTATACATGTGCTTCAGGACTGTGGGAGTCGGTACTTTCTCTCCTATTGGCCCAGTGTGTTTGGAACAATACAGTCGTCACAACAGAGATGGGGATACCTAGGTCTAATTCAAATTCATCCTTGTTACATGATAATTTTCCTTATTGAATAGGGCCGTAAAAAAATGATGTTAAAACCCAACAACGGTGGCTCCGCCAGCACTGTATGATAAGAGGCAAGATGCTGATCAAGACAACCACGAAAGAAGAGAGAATACCACACAAACCAAAATTGAAGAAAGGCGGTAGACACACACACACCCCTCTTTCCTGCCCCTCAAAAGATGCACCAAGTTACTAATTCATGCTGCTGCCTGGAAAACGACGCAGGCGGGAATTAATAACGCTGCCACCTGCGGGCCATAGAAATGGCGATATATATATATATAGTACCTGCATCAGGAAATCGTGACGCGAAGACACACACACAAGGTCAAACCACCAAAGTATGTCACTGGACCTATTCTCTGAAAGAGGCAGAGATGCGGAAAAATGCCCAAATTCAGATACCAGAGCTAGAAGAGCCAGAAACCAGAACTGGGCCAGCCTCCAAGGAGTCAGAAGGATCACCCTACCTGAGAATGACTTCTGTCAGGAAAGAACCAAGAACAGCTGAACCAGGAAAAAAAAAAAAAAGAGGGGTAAATGCACCTCAAACTCAACAAATTCAGCTGAAAAGCATCTACCACAAGGGCCTTGCAATCTGGGAATGGCTGTGAAAATGTGAAAAAGTAAATATTGTGTGGAAGTAGTAGCCTGCAACATAGAGCAAAGGACAATTTACAGTTTTGTGTGGTTAATTTGAACAATAATTTTAAGAGGCATGTTTGTACATAATTCAAATAAAACGTTTTTTATAAATCATTTATTTGAAAATAATGCTAAGTTGGTTTCCAAGAACGTAAATAAAGTTGAATACAAAATTTTTTTGATTACTGTATTTAAACTATTGAGTAACTGGACTCACCATTTTGGCTACAGAGTCTGGTGGAAGCCTACTGCACTGTTAGATACTAACCATTTTGCATTTTTGTACATAAAATACACTACACTACACTTATCAAATCTTTTGCATCACGAGCAATTCTAACTTTTTTTTTGTAATGATACAAAAGGGAATAGGGAAAAGTTTCTCTTTCATTTGTTTGTTAATAAAAAAAAACAAGTTTTTTGTTTTCGAAAGGGAAAAACATTGCCTTTTGATGCATTCACACCTTAATGCACATTTAAATAATTCTTTCACAACATACATAACTAGTGTCATAACTTTCCGATTTACACAGTTCAAGAAAGTAAGCCAAGTGTGATCCACAGTCAACATCATGTTAAAAGATTTACTTTAAATATTTAAAGTTCCAAAACTACTACTTTATCCCCCCCCAAAAAAATCACTAAACATTAACATTGTAGTAACTCACAATAATAAATGTAATTGTGCAAAAAATATTACAGTAATGAAACATAATTGATACAATCAATAACAATAAATTATTTCATTGAGCAAGTAGTGTTACATAACAGTAATTGCATACAAAGTTATGTTACTCTTGATATCTTGGACGAATTATTTCAAAAGACATTCAACATAGTGACGGCCTTGCACAAACCTTGCTAGAAATCCCATTCCATAGTACAAGCCATAAAAGGTATGTATAAATAAAAAAATAATCTACGGAAAAAGAACAAGTGTACTGTATTTACAATAGCATTCACCTACAAATATTCGATGCATTCAACAGCTAATAAATGTTCTCTTTTCTTGAAAAAATATTTTTAGTATAAATCATAAGTGACTAATGCCTAATATTACTAAATATGATTCACATTACGAGAGCAGACAATAAATATTGCATATGTCGTACAGTATAGTATCTCAAATGTAAGCATGGAGATAAAACTTTTATAAGCAGTAAGGCACAAGTCTTGTCAGTTACATATGTAAAAACAAAATAAAAAGAACAATTTAATAATTACTCAAACATATTAAGTCAAACTTCGTCATTAAGATTTGGTAAATCAATAAATTGTTTTAACCATCTTCAAAAAAAAAGTAATTATTTCAGGATAACCTTAATTTGCTTAAATTAAAACTACAAAACCGAGAAAACACGAGAACATCTACACTGAGACTCTGATAGACCATGTCAAGAACTCACTGAAAAATCAACTGTTATATCACACCATATTCAGATTTCAACCTTCTTGGCACAAAATTTATGCATCACACTGTATATATCTCTAAAAATATTTACTGGAATGCAGCATTAATACTTTAATTTATATTACTAGAAATGACAAACGTACAAAATTTACGAAAACCTAAAAATCCATCACAAAATTTAATTACTGTACTTGATATTTTTTCTATACACTTAAATAATGGTAAATAAGTAATCTGGAAAAGTAATAAAAACCAGTTTTAAAGAATCTTAGCCTTAAAAACACAATTGAAATATAATTAGCTAGTTTTATTTGACGTACCATTTGTATCTTGTAACACATTCACAAGATTTGAATGCATAGTTAAAAGAAATTGAGTCAAATAATCCACTGCTCCCATCATGTATTCCTGCAACTTCTCTGGCGCTAAAGATCCTCTGGAACAAACAAACGGATATTTGTACAAGACTATGGAGCAGTGGAGGAAATGAAGAGATGAACATACACTGAACAAATCCACAAGGGCCGTGACGAGGATTCGAACCTGCGTCCGGGAGCATCCCAGACACTGCCTTAATCGACTGAGCTACGACAGGGTTAAAAAGGGTTGAAACCGAAGTTCTACTGAACTTACTGGATCCTGTAGCCTCTCCGAGGCACAAACAAGTTTTTTACACCCCCCCTTTGCACCCGAGCTATGTCAATAGGCCGTTCTCCCTCTTCGCCCTTACATCATCCTTGTGGATTTGTTCATTTGATGCATCACGTTAGTGTGATCTCTGTGTGTGAACATACATTATCAAATTAAAATGAGTCAGTATAGGGGCATTTAGCTCTCACAAAAGAGTATGTATGTTATTAAACAGTATCACTTGTAAATCAAGTTTAAAGTATTTAATTAATAGCTATAAAAATAATATTTTACCAGATGAACTTAATCATTCAAAGAAAATCTAATGTTGAATGTAATGAAATGCCTCTTTTTTTGGCAGGTCCTCTTGGTGGCTCCCCCTAAGCTAGCTGCCTGGTTAGCTCCAAGACTCACTGCAGACCAGAAGCAGAAACTGGTTCACTCAGAGACAAAGGCAGTCTGGGATACAAGATCAATCCAAACCAAAAGGAAAAGCCTCCAAAACAAGCAATTATATACAAAAACATTGGCAGCCCTATTAACTAAATGCTATTATTAGCTAACCAGTTACTCTTCCACCAGCAAATGGCAACCCAGGGCTCCAGCCAGGCAGCTATTGTATTTCAATTCAATCATGCACCTGGAGTAGTTTTCACAAAAGCTCATGCTCCTCCTTGGCTTATATTTCATTTAAGTGTTGGCCTGTTTGTGTTCCCCAGATACTGTTGAAAATAGTCAACATCACCAGTGGATATCCACCCGACAGCGTCGGTGCAGAACTCCTCTACTCGAGCGAGGAAGCTCTGGAACAACTGTTTGCTCCAGAACGCTCTACGAAATGCAGGCCTAATCATCACGCCTACCCAGCACTACCTGGCTGTTAGAACCATTTTTGTCAGCCGCACCAGCATCTACATCGCCTCCCAGGACCATGACACTATACTGAAAAGCATTAACATCAGGAACCTAGCTCTGACTGCTGTCAAAGTTGAGTCATCAAGAACGATGACAACCCGCCAAACACACACCAAAACTACGACGTTGGTACAACGTTTGAACAAGTTTTAACACCTAACCAGTTATGACAACCAATATAGCAAGTTGTAACAACGTTCTAATAAGTCATAAACACGTTAAGCCAAGATGTAACAATTTTAATAAAAGTTGTAACAAACAGAAAATAGAGATAGTTTCGGTTTGTGTTTCCAGGGAACCTACGGCCGACTCTGAAGGCGAGTCTCTACAGCTACAGCAGCAACCCAATTCATTCTCATTTCTCCTTTCACACTATCTTACATAATTTTCAAAGGTACTTACACAAAGACTTTTGTGCTGAGAAACTTGTGAACTTCAGCTAGATATGGAGACGATACATCTCTGATGGCAAAGACGCCAACTTCTAAAGTTTCCACTGCAAGAGCGCCATAGTGACTTGCTGATTGAGTCAGTCCAGGCAGTGAAGTCTCAATCTAAGCACATGGAATGTGTGTCATGAGTATGTTTCTTTTACAGAATGGAATAATTTCTGAACTGAAAAAAATAAAATTGTGTTCACTGTGCTGAATAATACAGTACTCAAAACTTTGATTAAAAAAAAAAGTAATAACATCATTATTTGGGTAGATATGCCTAGTCAGTAGCAGCTTTACGAGTTCATGTAAAAAAAATTCCATAATCTTGGCATTCTGTTGTGATCTCATTCATTTACCTCTATTTAATACATTACCTTTTCTTTCATAACTGGAATATACTGAGCAGCTGACTCAATTGCTGCCATGAAATAAACAGCAACTGCCTCTACTTTTTCCAGCACCAGAAGAAGATAGGGTCCACCAAGCTCACAGCCTCGACTGTAGTACACTGGAATATTGACTGCACACCATCTGTCGAAATTCAAAATACAGCACTGTATATAGTTAAGACATTATCAGGACTTCCTTGAGAGGAAAAAAACAATACCCTTTCTTCTATGCAAACTCCTACATACAAGGGGCATAACTGGCTGACTTTTCATGGTGTTAAAAATAAAACTTGATAAACACCTCCAAAGGATATCCAATCAAACATGATGTATTAATTACATCAGACCGAGCAGCCACATCCAACAATCTGGTTGATCAGACCACCAACCAGGTGATCTGGTCAGAGACCAGGCATCAGGGATGATGATCCTAGGAACCAATGCAAGGTAACTAACTGCAAGATATCCCTCTTATTTTTTTAGCACTGCCCCTCATTTTTTCTTAACTTTTATTCTAGTCATCACAAATATTATATAATAAATTACCTACTGAAAATTATCCTCCTCATTAATCTAATACAATTAAATACTGTTTGACGATTTCCAATAAATTTAGAGTATATTGTCCAGTAGTTTGTCAAAATATTTCATGCTACCATATACCAATATAAGCAATCAATAAACAAAGCTACCTTACTTGTAAAACAGAATTAACAGTGTTTTAACGGCTCTACCAAAGGCTTCAAGCCAAGGGACCAGCCCCAGCCTCTCCAGTGTCTGTCCCAACTTCGACTCTAGAGAATAAAAGTAATATTTAATCAATAACTAAAATTGTAATGAACTACAAATTATTTGTATATATACATTACTATAAGCAATGGCTAGCACTACTGAACTAGCATAAGAAATTAAAATGGATTTCTGCACATTTTATTTGATAATCTTACATAAACTATCCTGTACAATGCACTTGGAAATCACATTTCTAAACAAGACAATTTCAACTACAGTATGAATAAGCACAAAAAGAACAAATTTAATTATGAATATTACATAATGCTTTCCCTATGCTGTCATTCTTTGGATGGAATGCAAGAAGAATAGATACAAGGCTTCAGAAACTGGCAAAATATGAATACGTCTTACCATAAAATGATCCTGCACTTCTAATGTCCCAAAAAATAGCTGTTAGTAAGAGTATTCCCATAAGTTTCATCACATGAGGAAGAGGCGAGTTGGCTTTTACAGTCTTCATTTGTTTCAGCAATACCTGTAAAAGTCAGTGAAGAGATCATATTCAAATAGGATTATTTCAAATCTTGGCAGTGCTAAATAATCTACATGGCATAGAAACATGTTGACTCCACAGCCCGCCATGAGCCTCGCATTCCCTGGTCATAGCAGCTACAGACAACCCAGCAGCAAACAATAAGACGACGTGAATGGAATAAAAAACTTGTATGGCAACTTTAATTAAAGATATTTGATAAGACAGTTACTTGAGGGAAAAATAACACATGGAGAGCAAATTAAATGAGAATTTTTAAGTGTAGCATGTGAAAGACTCGTCAAGGAATATAGGAAAGGATAAGTCATGATAATTAGATCTAGTAATCAGTGTTGATACATTGAAGTAAACAGAGAAGGTCAACAACACTGGGCAGCCTTGTGAGTGCTGGTCATTAAGCCCCAACCCAAAGCCAACGCATCCATAAAGCCATCGAGCAACATCAGAGGAAAGCACCAAGAAACTGAACCCTGAAAAGCCCAAAGAGGAAGCTGGACACACAGCAACTGACAAAGGGCAATTGGAGTCTGAATTCCAATTAAACTAATAAGTTTGGTTAAACTTAAGTATTACTGAATGTCTTAGCTAATCAAACAGATTTTAGATCACCATACTATTTGAAAACATACTTCAACAGCTAAGTATGTATACATATATACTTATATACTTATATACAGCTAAGTATCAAAGGTTTAATTTAGCAGCATTAACTGATACACAACTTACATTTGTTGCATCTGTTGCTTCTGTAACTCCTGCTACAGATCGGGCTTTGTGAGACATCAGTTCATTGGATACTGCAAATCCTTCAATTGCATCCTTCACTTCTTTTCTCTGCACTCGCAGAGACTGACTGAGAACCTTCCATTCTCTACCTGCCAAAATAAACAATACAAATTTTTGGAAATACATTTGTCATTCAACTTTACTTTTAATTTAAAAATAATAACAGTCATATAACAAATATCAGATAACCATAGTATACACTAATTGTAAAACATCCTTAACTTCACAATACCTTGTCATTATGTCCATAATCATTAGGTAATCTACATTTTAAGTTGGCATATGCTAACACCCTATCCGAGGCTAGAATTTCTTGTGCCTATTGATCAGCCAATTATAGTCGCAAGTCAACACCTCATAACTTAACTGACGAAACATCCTCAAGAAAATGTTCTTTTCGCCGTCTTAAATATATTAGAGTAGGGAGGGAGAGCTCCATTATTCCTGCCATCAGAGGGGGGCTACATTATTTCTAACATGGCTTAAAATTTATCCTACATATTATTCCTTTAGTTAAAATATTTGCTTCTCACAAATTATTTACATGCTGTACATCATATTGCAATCAATAAAGAGCATCCTATTCATATTTCATGTGCCAATGTATGAGTATTATTTCAAGCTGTAATAACCTATGACTACAAAGTTCATATCTCCACCATACGACATACATTCATATTAGAAAATGAATCCATACAAGAATAAATACCAACAAGACGATGTAGAACCACTGTACTTGGATGAAAAATCACAAATGCTTCGAGCCTCTTAAGTACTATATAGTTGGGTTATTTGGCATAAAGTACAAACACATGTTAAGCTCAACCAACCTAAATGGTGTAGTAAGATGGCTGACTGGGGTAAGTGCTTAAGATACAGCTGTGACCATATATTCCAGCACTGGAGATCCTGAGTGAGGCACTGAACCATACATGTCACTAACTGTTGAGGAGACACTAAACTTTACTATCTGAAACAAATTGTACAATACTGTGTATGTATATCACATGGATGTATATCACATGTATGTATATATACATACATACAGTACATATATATTGGATACAGATAATATATTTGCCTATTGAAATTGAAATAAGTTTATTGATGTAAAATACACACAAAGTGATGAGGTAGCTCAAGCTATTCTCACCCCGTTCAGTACATCGTGTTAATACATACATATGCACACATCACAAACAATAAACATATTACCAAACATTCTGAGAGATAAACATATACATTTCCTATTTGCCTATTAGTACATTAATACTGTACTTGTCTTTCAACTAGCTCTCAATACATAATGGAATGAAGTCTTGACAGCTTACAACAGGTATTTAAAATTGTGCAGCATATAATAATAATCATTACTACTCCAATTTGCACAGTCATGGTAATGATAGGCACCTCAGCCAAGATGCACTAAGAACAGATAGAAATGTAATTAAGATACCCAAAATGACACCATTCACTCGTTAAAAGTTTTTCACCCCTACATATTGCAACGTCACACAAGGCTAGCACTGCTATACTCCAGAAATAAATCCCCAGCGGGACACCTTCACTTCATACAATTAAAGGTTAAGTGCTTCCCATCACTTGTCACTTAACACATTTCAAAACATTCATTAAGAAACTGATCCCCATCTAGCCTTCATCCCTATCATATTTTGTAAACAGTTCACACTCAATCTACACTTCTTCAGGCATTCACTCACCAAGTCTGTCTATTATCATATTGCACCGGCTTGTCTTCAAATTCTCCCCACCTTCAAATTCATTCTTGGGCACTAATCATTCTTTCATTCACTATGACCTAATCATCTATACAGTATATATACACTACTCAGTCATACGATTTAATGGCTTCTATATTCATGTTCCATTATGTTTTTATTCCTTATTTTAATGTCATAGTGTCATATATGCATTTTCCTTCCTCGCCAGTGCCTCACATCCATACACAAGACTAGGACTACAACTAATGCGGCTCTAGCTGCCTCTCTTCCTATCTTCTTAACTAGCAGCTTCACTGCATCATTTTCCTTCCTTCATTTACTCTAATTTCAACTTCTGCACTAATTCTTCTTTAGTCAATTATGCAGCCCCTGTATGTGAACAGAACAATGACATCTAGGACTTCCATTCACTCATATCGTATACATCGTTTGATTTTCTATCACCATTACATTTGGCAACATGTGAAAGAAGATTGCAAAAATAAATATCAACAGAACTCCAAACTATTCTACATACAGTATATCCCAATCATTATCTGCTAAAACAAATGAATCATCTTCATAAATATAATGTGGAAACTCCACATAGTCCTATCATAAAAAAATCTCTCACCAATTTATAATAGCAGTCTTCTTACCTTTAACCTCTCTCATAACTCAATCTATAATAACATTTAATAATTATTGTTGGGTATTTCTACATTGACATCAATCCTCAACACATTCACAAGCTCAATTCCATCCAAAGCTCAACCCCCGCAAGCACAACTAGGCGAGTAAATGCATAATACTTTCCAGAGAATATTTCTATTCCCATTATCATATACTTTATAGGTAGATGCTACATAAACTTTATAATGAAATCTTCCTTACATACTTCCTCCATTGCCACAATGTAAATGTCTGATCCACCTGACTTCTCACTACAAAACCTGTTCGCTAAATTCTCAAATCTCTTGCATTCTTCAAATACCTAAACTTCCATAGGAATTTAGCTACAGTATATTATAATCAGTAAACCACTATCTTCATAATCTAAGATTTCTAAATAACTAGCCAATTTCATTCAAATTTATTTAATTATATAGTTTCAAGGTGTAATATATTAGCGTGTCAGTTATTTACACAGTACTGTACTTCCCTACAACTGATTCAAATATTATAGCCATCATAACTTCAATACTGAAGATATTTCTGGTAGATAGGGTGACTAGTAATAGAGGAATATGAACATCTGTAAAATTAACTAATGCTATAAACAGGATATGTAACACCACACACAGAAATCACAATAGCGTGATGCATCAAATGAACAAATCCACAAGGGCCGTGACGAGGGTTCGAACCTACGTCCGAGAGCATCCCAGACGCTGCCTTAATCGACTGAGCTACGACATGGTTAAAAGAATTGCAACCAGAAGTTCTACTGAACTTACTTGGATCCTGCAGCCTCTCCGAGACAAATCAGGACTTTACACAATTCCCCCATGCACTCGAGCCCTGTCAATAGGCCATTCTATCTCTTTGCTCTTACTTCATTACACTCGGCTCAGTCGATTAAGGCAGCGTCTGGGATGCTCTCGGACGTAGGTTCGAACCCTCGTCACGGCCCTTGTGGATTTGTTCATATGTAACACTTAGATAAATGGTTATTGACTAAAAACTAGCAAATCAATTTGAGTACAATGAATTCATTCACTTCACGGGGAGCCGGTCGGCCGAGTGAACAGCACGCTGGACTTGCGATCCTGTGGTCCTGGGTTCGATCCCAGGCGCCGGCGAGAAACAATGGGCAGAGTTTCTTTCACCCTATGCCCCTGTTACCTAGCAGTAAAATAGGTACCTGGGTGTTAGTCAGCTGTCATGGGCTGCTACCTAGGGGTGGAGGCCTGGTCGAGGACCGGGCCGTGGGGATACTAAAGCCCAGAAATCATCTCAAGATAACCTGGTTTATGCTATACCTACTGTAAATCCAGTCAATATTTTGTATGGTACTGTACATAAATAACTTGTTTAAAAAAAATTAGTCTAATTATTAATATGGTATACTCAAAGGCTTATTACATGATATACATTTCATAAAAAGTAAACATTTTATTTCTTAAATCAAGTCAAACAAAGAAAAAGACTCACTTCTACTTTTAGTGGATGGGAAACATTTGGATCCAAGCGACGAAGGAAGGATGGGAAAAAGTTGCGCAGGGTTACCTCAGGACTAGAACTAAAAGCTGCTGTCTGAAAAAAAGTAAGATTAATTTTGTTTAAATTAATGAATGCATATTTTGTGTGTAATGAGATGAAGGCTCAATGGATACCAATATTTCATGGGACAACCCACTTTCATAACATGAACAGAAATGAAGAGTTTTGAAGTGGAATATGTTATTGCCCGTTTTATTCACTCGGCTAATTCAGCTAATAACACAATCTCAAAAACCTAAACTACAGGTACAACAACAGATTGCAAACACATTTTAATTTTAAAAACACACGGCAACCTCACTTAGCCAAAGCCAATTTAATGGTTCGCACTTTAACTAACACAGTAAAATTAGACCGAGTACAATATAAACGAAATTCAATTCATTAATCTGGACAAATGCACCAACTGCCTTCTCTTACTACGTATATAACTGAATCATCTCAGCAATGGCTGGTACTCTCCTTAAGAAACCTTCTTGCACACTCTCCCCATGGGCCTAGAGTCTCAGACCCTATTGGAATGAAGTTGTACCGATGATCTAATTCCCTGTAATTGGCTGACTAATTGGAAGAAAATATATAAATATAACTTGCAACCAAATCAACCTATCCAAACATTATAAATAAATTAAGTTTGAATGAGTAAATTTTGTATTAATGCAACCATCTATATATGACATTATAAAGTTTTATGTATGACTGAAATTAAGAAATTGTCTCACTATTCAAAATGACTTCCACCAACCTTGCTTCTATTCCTTGTTTTTCTATCCACCTCCCTTTGTTTTATACACAAACCATCCACACTATGTTACTGAATAAAGAAAGAAAAACACAAACACAGGGTTTTCTAATTTCAGTTGTAAATAACTTAGAAAATTGCAGGTAACAAGTGGCAAGGACCCATTACCCAATGGTGGTGAGATTGTCCTTGACTGTATCCACACAACTGAAACTGGTGGTACATTGTCAGAAAAAACAATGCTTATATCCACTCAAGCACAAAATAAGCCTATCAAACAATCTTTAGAACCAATAAATGACACCGGAAAAGTTGCATATGTATGAGTTTTGACGTGTTGGTGAGGGAGACATGACAGGAAGCAACACCCTGTGCCCCAACCTTCCATGGCTTGTATTTCCCAGGTCATCTGCAGTGTCATCAAATCTAGCCAGCATGCAGTCTTCCTTTGGCCTCGTGACATTTGTAGGTATGCTGCATTGGCCACAGTCATCTGCAACATGTCTTGGACTGATATTTGGTCTTGGAGGAGTTTGGTGTTCTAACAGAATTGTGGTGGCCCAGTATTTAATGTCCTTGGTCTCAGTTGGTCAGCTTTTGGATAGATTCATTGGTGATTGATGCTTTTGGTTAGTCCAGCTCAGGATGCATCACCTGTTGTGTCTGGTGGCGGATCTTTGCTGCTACCTGTCTCACTTATTGTACCTCGGTATTGTACCTTGTGTGTATTGTTGTTCTGTTGAAGGCTGGCAAGTTATGCTCCTTTATGTGTGATGGGAGTGTTGAAAAGTCTTAAGCCCTTGATGTTGACAGTTCTCTCTCAGTGTACCTACTGCACCTCTGCTTTTCAATTGGGCTATTTTGCACATCCTGCCAGGCCTACTGGCTTCATGCGATGTAATCTCCATGTTTAGATTTGGAATTAGTCCCTCTAATATTTTCTAAAGTGTAGATTAAGTACATCTCTTGCCTGTGCTCTAAAGACCACAGATTTAGAACTTTAAATCAGTCCCAATAATTTAGATGACTTAAGAGTAGATTCTAGCAGTAAATGATCTTTGCATGCTCTCTAGGTCAGTATTTTCTCCAGCTCTGAATGGGGTTGTTAGTGTGCAACAATATTCCACCCTGGAGAGCACTAGTGTTTTGAAAAGTATCATTGGTATGGCATCCCTTGTTTGGATGGTTCTCGTTATTACACAGGTAATTTTCCTTGCGGTCGTGACCACTACTTTACTGTTTTCTTTAATGGTCTTCCAACATGATTACTCTTAGATCCTTTACATTGTTTTTTTTGTTGTATAATGTTATTTGATTCCATTTTACAATGGTTAAAATGCATGCCTTTGCAAAGTGTAAACATCTACATTTCTTTCTTTTAATGCTTCTGTGCTTTTGTTATCTTGGTAAAGTAAGTGCAAAAGGTAGGACCTTCCCACTTTAAATCCAAGTTGACCTGGGTTGTAAAGTGCCTTGTTCTCCATAAAATTAGAGATCCGACACCTAATCACCCTTGCAAACACATGAATTGTGTGTGATGCTAGTGATTCTGGTATTTCACCCATATCCACACTTTTGCTCCATACCACACTGAGCACTTGTGCTACCGGTACTTTGCATATATTTATAAATACCTGTACAGAGTTCCAGGAGTCAGTCCCACGGCAAAATGCAAGGGCATATTATCAATTTCTCTTTCAGAGTCTGCTGTGCCCATCTTAATATCAGTTATACTGTCCAAGATGCTCTTGCCACTTCATCATCCCATTAACTAGTTCTTATAATTCAACAAGTCTGTGCAACTCCTCACACTTGCTTGACATTTGTTACTAAACATTTCTTGTATACACACACACCACATGTCACTAAGGTTGTTTACTCAAACTCTTTCTTACTCCAATATCACTTATCAACTCTACTTTATTTCCCTCATCTACCAATTCTCTCCTTGTAATCTTTTATACGTTTACATAGCATAAAGATGTGATCAGACAAGCATCCTGATATTACTCACTGTGAATGTATAACACCCAAACCTTACCATACTCTCTCCCAACTCGTCAAACTACAGTAACTGCATAATTTGCATTGTACCATGCATATTTATATGTCATGTTAAAAATATATATAGTATTAATAAATAATAATGGCTAAGATCCTTCCTCTAATTTGTTTTTGTATGCCATCATTCATGTTAAATAACCAATAATAATAATAAATATAAAAATTTAAGCAAAATAAAAAACCTACCTTAACTTTTGGGTATAGAGCAAAAAGTTGCCTCTGAACAGGCTTGGGTAATGATCCAGAAGAACACCAAGTGAAGTCCAAAATGGTGAAAAACTCGCGCACGCCTAAAACGTCCCCACAGTCCTCAGCTCCTCCACCTCCTCCGCCTCCAAATACAGTGCTTCCATATTCTACCACATATGCCGAATAGTTCTTCAAGCCAATTAATGGTACCATTAGTTCCATCCATACTGTAAAAAAAAAATAGAACATGACTAAGTAATGTACCCAGATTTTCATTTAATATGTTGAAATTTCAACTGCAGTGTCTTCAGAGATCTAACCCTTCTACTGTGCAACACAACCTGGGATGTTCTTGCTAATTATCCACAAGACGTGTGACATGGCCAGGGATGTTTTTAAGTACCACGTAAAAATTAAAACTTCTGTGGGTACACATGGCTCACATCTGCTTCCTTAGGCCTCCAGTAAACAGACACCATCTTGGAAAAATAAATCGAAGTGACCGGGTGAGCTAACTGGTAGTTAATAAGAGTACTGCTTGGTGTATGAAATGCCAAACAATATTATACTTGGAATGACTGAACATGTATGTACTGTATAGGAATTAACTGAACCAAATTCAATCCATGGAATCAGTATGATCTTAAATTACAATGCAACAGAGATGGCTAGAAACACATAACCAAACCATAAAGTATGCATATTAAGGATACCAAATAAGCAACAAAACCATTCGATATCCTGACCAGGAAAATCTAATTACAAGCACAAATTTATTTAAAAAGTATCTTGAGACCCTAAATCAATTAGAAATACTTTATAGAATTTTATCTTATTCATATTTATGTTGGGGGCGAAAATCGACCGATTTTTGGCCGCCAGCGGCGAAAATTGGCCGATTTTTGGCCGAAGTCAAACATACACCCACCTTTCAAACCAACACTAAAGTCATCCAGGCCTGACTGTCCGACAGCCCATAGAAGAGAGAGACACGCAGGCGTCTGATTTTGAATGGTGTTCCGTAGCTCACAATAATAAGGCAAATTCATCATACCAACATGTGGGTGGTTTATTGACAAGATCTGAAGAAATACAATGCATATTTAAAGTTCATTCTTAAATCATAACAATGTTACTAATATAGTACTGTATTATACTTCTACAATAGGTTTAGATTTCTGTTCTGTAGCTTAATAAAACTATAAAAATATATTTTTGTCATTTAACCCTTAGATAGCAGTTATCATGCTTTAATTCACGGGGTAATGAGGTTATCATGTAACGATTTAAACAATTTCTGTCTGGGTTTTACATGTCTGATACGTATATGGATATAATAGCTCTGTGGTTGCAATGGAATTAACCTTGACAGATTAAAAAAATCCTGCTACTATTTCATGGTTACATGTACTAGGAGGAGCCTGCCATCGTGTGCGCACACCACATTGGTAGCTTGCGCCTTTCTTTTAATCTATACTTTGCCAATATGGTGCCAATTATGCCATATGTAATCACCCAGAGCCTAACACAATTGTATATTATGTTCATATCCTTTTCACTACTCTATGGTTGTAATGGAGTATACCAGGAAAATCAATCATCAATTAAAACCTGTTATTGAAACAATTGCGTTATATGAGTTGCGTGATTTATCAAGTTATTGAACATACAAGAGACATGTGGTAAATGAAGAGAAACAAGTGGTAAACAATCAGCGAAACACCCGAGGATAAAACAAGAAGCATCAGCAGAACTGGACACCGGATGTTGACCGACGCCAGACACCCTACCAGAGCACGTCCATCCAGTGAAACAATAAATATTCACTTATTTTTTAGTTTTCTTACATTTTGCATACAGATTTATAGTTCTATAATGAAAATAATTTGTCTTTTTTGACCATAGACATGTATGAGTGATTTCTGCATAGCTGCTGTCTAAGGGTTAATCACTAATAAGTGACATCTGATCTAGTCAATTAAAGTACTTTAGTACTTTAATCGCCTGTAATAATTTAATACTTTTGCCTTTAATACTTTAATTCCCTTTATAATTCACAAGCATGACAAACATACCATCTTCAGGAACTGCACTGTACCCTACTGACATTTCAATATAACCTGTCATAAAATCCTATCTGGGACCAAACAAGGTAATTATTGTTGTCTTTACAACAAAAATAACCTACAGACTTTACAGTTTCCACAACTCTGTAAAGAAATATTGTGGTCTGTTACAGTCAATGAAATAACTAAAATCAATGTGAATTAGGTTAACTTAATATTTAATTAATATAATTCTCAAAAAGCTTTACGGTTTCTTCTGACAAAGCTAATTAACAAAATTATTAATGTTTGAATTAACCCTTAATTCTTTGTTTGACTTATGTCACACATTTTTTATCATACTTATCAAATTGCTTTTGTACAAATTAAGGTCTAATTTTTAAGGACTTTCTTGTAATTCCAAACAGCAAGTTTGAAATTACAAGAAAGCTAAATATATAGTATAGAAAAAGTTGGACAAAACTTCAATGTACCGATGCACAGATAGGAGGATCTGCTCACGATCACATGCTATCCTGCACCATCTTGTACAAAAGCTGAACACATTTACTTTGATTCAATAGCTGCAAAACAAGACAGTATTACAGCTTCACAGGAAAAGCTTTATTTTAATAACAAATAATGAACATACAGTATAACTTTTACATGAAAGCTTTGTCCAGCCTCTTGTCTTATCACAAATGCTTCTTAGGACTTCTGCACATCCCTCTATATCTGATAAAGACATACATAGACATAATTTCATTCTTTTTTATAATGACCATACCAACATACACCACATTTTAACAATGGAAAAATGTACATGGAAATATCTGAATTCTGGCTAAGTGCATTCTTCTCATAATGACTGACTTACACACTGCTTGAGAAGCTTACCTGAATAAAAAGCTTATACCCTGCCACACCAAGACCTCTGACTTGCTCCTGCACCATAGATGATACACAATGCTTGTGAAACGCTGCTAGCACAGTATCACTACAGCCAGAGTGTGTGCTAATCAGCAGCTGCAAACCAAAACACAGTATTTAGATTAATGTCGTACTGTGCATACTTTACATTCTTATAGGAATTCTTAGTTATTATAAAGATCAAACACTTAGGACTGTGAATGCCAGTCAAATTTAACATCAATCAGCACACATATCTAAATACAAATATTAAACATTTTCTATCCATTTCAGGGAAATGTGAAGTTTATTTGACATGTAATACCATAGTGAATAAAGTACGAGACAAAATGAGAGAATTATTATTACATAGGAGAACCCAGAAGTTTTATATTTGCCTTCAACAACATTTCACAACCTATCTTGAGATGATTTCGGGGCTTTAGTGTCCCCGCGGCCCGGTCCTCGACCAGGCCTCCACCCCCAGGAAGCAGCCCGTGACAACTGACTAACACCCAGGTACCTATTTTACTGCTAGGTAACAGGGGCATAGGGTGAAAGAAACTCTGCCCATTGTTTCTCGCCGGCGCCCGGGATCGAACCCGGGACCACAGGATCACAAGTCCATCGTGCTGTCCGCTCGGCCGACCGGCTCCCGTCGGTAGGGAGGTTGAGTAGACATTACCAATAATCTGGCAGAGTTGATTTGGTAATGTCTGGACATTACCAATAATCTGGACATTACCAATAATCTGGCAGAGTTGATTTGGACATCTGTTGCAGGTGGTATACCTCTAATGGAAACAAACACCTTGCAATAAGCTGACACACTTCGAGTCATGCATTGTTGCTCTAATATGCCTTACCCTGAGAATAATCTGAGCTGTCAGCCATAATGCAACTGGAGACATTACAAGCAGAGGTAGTCCATGAAAAGTGAATCTCAGACAAAATAGTTAGTTCCCTTCTATAATACTGTAGCTTATGTCAAAGCTATTACTTCTTCCTGTGTGGATCATTTAACATTCTACCTAGGGAACTGATGTGGGAAGCTGTATGTCTCCCTACCCAAAGCTGGTGATACACTGATATTATGCCAGTATTAAAATTAAAATACAACTTATAATGAAGACATTATAATTTATAGGTTAACCTGAACTTGTTCTACTCAAATGGGGAATTACACAAGTTCACAAAATAAAAATCTTACCTTCTTGACCTCTGAACTTAGCAGAGATGCTGGGAATGATGTAGGATGACCTCTAAAAGCAGGATCTGGGGAGTGGATTGGATTGACGCGTACATTTAAGTAAGAAGCCAAGTCTTTCAACCATATAAGAGGAGAATCTTGAAAACGCGACATAACCACATCAAGCAGATTCTGCATCTCTCGTACATTCAGCTATTCGAGAAAAAAATTAAGTACGAGTGAGTTTTATGCAGAGTCTTATCTTACAAGTAGATACAGTAAGCCCTCACTTTTTACAATATAAAGTGCCATTAGGCTGATACTGTAATAAATTTGTTACATTTTAAAATAAGGCTGCCTTAACTGAAGTTGTGCAGGAATTTTTTTTACACACATTAAAATACATTATTGCATCACAGCGTCTTCAAACGATGGGTAAAACTAAATCCAATCATTATCGAGTTTATATATCAACTTTATATATATAGTACAGAATATATTTGGCTGGTGAATGGCCAGAGAACTCCATAATAAAAATTCATGTAGGTGCTGCATTAAGAAGTAATGTTTTAAAAATTCAATGTTAAATGTAACGAAATACATCTTTCTGGAGGCATTTTAATCCAGGCCGGACCCTGGATTGTACCTTGATGAGGTTCTGGGAGTTGTTCTATTCCACATACATTCTAGTGTAGAGTGTAATACATTCTACAGTTAATTATTCTTTTAGTGTACCGCAAACAAAGATGACATTCGGAGAAATTCTCTTCCAATTAAACCAAGATGCAAGAGCACTAGTCAGATGGATAGATGCCCCAATCAAGAAAATAATCAATGCAGAATATGCAGTCATACTTAATGAAACATGTCTAAATGAAAACCTGCTGCCAGTATACACTAATTTATATTTATTTGTATTTAATTTATTATTTACATGCAGCATACAAGGCTACTTGTCACAAGTTCATATATACTGTGGCTACTGTGACTGTTCATATATATACCGTCATCTTTATGTACTTAACCCAAACAACTTTATCATTGTGTTCATTGCTGTCTTATGTGCTAGCCATATGCTGTATTGTGCCTACTAATTTTTGTTAAACTACCATTCAAGCTGTCATTGCAATCAATCTGAGCTACCTATGTGCTTTAATATACCTACAATTTTCTCTCATCTTTTATTTTTGTTTTCTTGCTATGTAACTTATTTTTATAAATTTTGCAAGTATTTACCTACTTAAAATTTTCTTAGATTAAGGACCTGCCCGAAACGCTGCGCGTACTAGTGGCTTTACAAGAATGTAATTACTATGCTATGTATCCTCACAATCCCAATGTACCTTCTTGTATATATATAAATAAATAAATAATGTATATTAGATAAACTTTCATTCAACTCTCTGTCTGTGTGTCTTTCAAGTGTGTCAACTCAACTTGTCTTGTCTTACCCTGCAGACAGCCTCCTCCAAGGTGCCCGGCTGATGTGGACCAACATTATTTTTCTTCTCCGGTTTCTTCTTCTTTGGTGCACTTGCAGCTTTAGGCGACTTGGGTTTGCGATTCTCCTTGCCAGTCACAACCTCAATTCCTCCTGCAGGAAGACTTTTTTTAGTATTTATATTAAATACAGCATATCAGATTAGTGATTACCTAGTAGGTAACATTTTTTATATTTGATAAAACCACTAGACATGTGCAGCAGTTCAGGCATAGAGTAAAAATATATACTAAATGCTCACCATATGTTCTTTACCTGACAGGAGGATGTGGAAGGAGGAGTGCAAATGGAAATTGGGAAACCAACACTAACTAAGAGTGACCGAACCAGACATAAGAACATAAGAATAAAGAACTGTAAAAATCCTATTGGCCCATACGAGGCAGCTCCTATTTGCCCCATACGAGGCAATGTACCATGTAGGTTGACCAGACCACACACTAGAAGGAAAAGGGACGACGACGTTTCGGTCCGTCCTGGACCATTGTCAAGTCGACTGTTGACTTGAGAATGGTCCAGGACGGACCGAAACATCGTCGTCCCTTCACCTTCTAGTGTGTGGTCTGGTCAACATACTTTAGCCACTTTATTGTGACTCATCGCCTGCATACTATGAAGGTACGGATGCTACTCAAGATGAACTGGGAAGCTAATGGCAGATATTTACCAAACTGCTTCATCTATTAACAGTTTAAGTTAGGTACATAAGAATGAAGGTAATGGCAGAAGGCCTACTTGGCAGCTCCTATTTATATCCACCCAATCTCATTCATGTCTAACCTACGCTTGAAACAATCAAGGGATCCTACTTTTAAGAATTTTAAGGTTAAAGAATTCATATTTAATTATGCAAACTGACAGGTGTACTGACCTAGTTGTGCTTGCAAGGTGTATGTAGTGTGGGCTAGACTTAGCCAAGAAAGATGTTCCTAAAACCTTTATAACAGTCTGTAAACTACAGTTTATATATATAATTAACTACCTCTATATACCTCATCATAAAACATTGTTTACATGTCTTAGTTAATACAATAGGCTGGACCGTCCTGTAAACCAACCTTACCAATTATAAATCAAATCTACAACAATATCAGTCAACTAGAACCTTAAAACACACTGGTAAAGACACACATAACCCTTCACCATAACAAATAACATTCCCCTAACAAAATATGGAACAAAACACGAAGCAAAACATATTACAGACATTAACATAGCCCAAGTACCCGCAATACGACATACCTGTTAGAGTAACTCGTGGAGCTGACTGGATAAACTGTTTCTTTTCTTCTTTATTTAGTTTTCCATTAGCAACTGAGGCAGCTTTACCTTTCTTGGAGGCCTTGACAACCAGCTCCCACTCGCCCGTCGCTGCCATGTTGGACCACTGAGCACGGCCGCCTCACAAGTCACTGAAGTAGCCACCTGGCGCTCCAAAAGTAGCGAATTGGTTATAAAAGTAGCCCAATTTTTTGTTTTAGTGAATGGGTTTCAAAGTTATATATTATGATATATAGAGTACACTACAGGATGTATTATTAACATTATTTCAGCACACACATTCTCTCTCTCTCTCTCTCTCTCTATCTATCTATATATATATACCAATATTACCAATATTTTAAGTTACCAATATTTACTGTATGAAGCATAATGGTTGTGGAGTCCTTCCAGGTAGATTAACAATATCTTAGATCAAAAAACGCCAATTTAATACACATGCGCTGGCGTGTGTTCGCTTCTGTCTGCAAAGATAATAGAATTGCGAATAAATATTGAGAATAAGCTAAAATTATGAATAATAAAATGGCACATGAGTGTATTATATTGAAATACAAAAGTATTTTTCAAATATGCGAGGCGATTCACCCTTATACAATTGAATGAATTAAATAAGTTTGTCTTAACATCTTTCATACTGCAAAATTATACCACAATATCTACACTAAAATCATTGTAATTCAATTTCTTTATTATGCACCCCATACCCATCCCGTGGGCGGTGGTGTAAGGGATTACAGAGGCACATAATCGGTTCAGGAACTGAACCCTCTAGTTCGTTTAGCTAAGCCAATAATGTTTGACGCTAGTTTCAAAATTATTAATGTTGTATACACATGTACACACTCCCATACATACATGTAAATATATATATATATACGTATACATATATACATACACATACATATCTAATCACCCACACAAATACACACATCAATAATCTTTGTGTCAAGTGATTAACAAGAGGCTCACAACAGTCACTATACAAGGCACTTTACATTTATAGTGAGTCGCACAGTTACTAGTCTTGCTGCACACCCACCCAACTGGGTGGCAGCTTTACAGTCATGTGCATGCATTACCTACAGTAAGCAAATTTTGGACACTTCGCTAAGATTTCGGGCAGCACATCATTATGAATGAAATACATGCACAACACAAAGACCAACAAGTCACACCACCGGAGTTATGTAACCGGAGCCCGAACCAGTTGTGTAACCGGATCCTGACCAGTTGTGTAACCGCAAGCCTAGCATGAATGAACCAAACAAACAATTCAAAACAAACAGCATCAACCAAACATCTGAAGCACAACCATGCGCGAACCGAAGCCCGACTATACGCAACCCAAAGCCCAATTGACACCCCCAGGTGCCCAACCAGTTATGTAACCAGAGCCCGACCAGTTGTGTAACCGCAAGCCAAGCAAGCAAACATCTCATCCAATACACACCAAGCCAAACAAACAGCCCCAGAGCCCAACCAAACGCTCTTCCTAGCCCTACCAAACAAACCCTTCCTTAGCCCTACCTAACAACCCTCCCATACCTTAACAACTAACTTTGGAGCCAAAGCAAAAAACAATTGAGCCCCATACAAAAAAGAAACCTGGAACTCCTGCAAAAATAAAACAATGAAGCCCTAGAAAATAAACATGTACTCAGCCATTGCAAAGAAACAACGATGATCTAGCAAAGAAATGTGAGGCACTAGCACACAACCCCTGGAGCACAACCATGCATGAATCGAAGCCCGACCATGCACAACCCGAGGCCCAAGTGACACCCCCGGAGCCCGACCAGTTAAGTAACCGGAGCCCGACCAGTTGTATAACCGGAGCCCGACCAGTTATTTAACCGGAGCCCGACCAGTTGTGTAACCGAAGCCCGACCAGTTGTGTAACCGGATCCCGACCAGTTGTGTAACCACAAGCCTAGCAGCATATATCTCATTCAACCCCCCACCTAGCTAACCAGCCCCAAACCCCAACCAAACAAAAATCTCCTTAGCCCTACCTAAAACCCTCCACTTGCCTAAGAAACCAACTATGGAGCCATAGCAAACAAAAAATTTACCTATGTATGAAAAAAATGGATTTCTAGCAAACATATAACCATAGAGCCCTAGCAAGCAAACCTGGAGAACTACTACACAAACAAACCCTAGGGAACGACCATGCACGAACCGGAGCCCGACCATGCACAACCCGAGGCCCAAGTGACACCCCCGGAGCCCGACCAGTTATTTAACCGGAGCCCGACCAGTTGTGTAACCGAAGCCCGACCAGTTGTGTAACCGGACCCCGACCAGGTGGGTAACCGCAAGCCAAGCAAGCAAACATCTCATCCAATACACACCAACCCAAACAAACAGCCCCAGAGCCCAACCAAACTATCTTCCTAGCCCTACCAAACAAACCCTTCCTTAGCCCTACCTAACAACCCTCCCATACCTTAACAACTAACTTTGGAGCCAAAGTTAAGTCAAAAAACAATTGAGCCCCATACAAAAAAGAAACCTGGAACTCCTGCAAAAATAAAACAATGAAGCCCTAGAAAATAAACATGTACTCAGCCATTGCAAAGAAACAACGATGATCTAGCAAAGAAATGTGAGGCACTAGCACACAACCCCTGGAGCACAACCATGCATGAATCGAAGCCCGACCATGCACAACCCGAGGCCCAAGTGACACCCCCGGAGCCCGACCAGTTAAGTAACCGGAGCCCGACCAGTTGTATAACCGGAGCCCGACCAGTTATTTAACCGGAGCCCGACCAGTTGTGTAACCGAAGCCCGACCAGTTGTGTAACCGGATCCCGACCAGTTGTGTAACCACAAGCCTAGCAGCATATATCTCATTCAACCCCCCACCTAGCTAACTAGCCCCAAACCCCAAACCCCAACCAAACTCCATTCCTAGCTCAACCAAACAAAAATCTCCTTAGCCCTACCTAAAACCTTCCACTTGCCTAAGAAACCAACTATGGAGCCATAGCAAACAAAAAATTTACCTATGTATGAAAAAAATGGATTTCTAGCAAACATATAACCATAGAGCCCTAGCAAGCAAACCTGGAGAACTACTACACAAATAAACCCTAGGGAACAACCATGCACGAACCGGAGCCCGACCATGCACAACCCGAAGCCCAAGTGACACCCCCGGAGCCCGACCAGTTAAGTAACCGGAGCCCGACCAGTTCTATAACCGGAGCCCGACCAGTTATTTAACCGGAGCCCGACCAGTTGTGTAACCGAAGCCCGACCAGTTGTGTAACCGGATCCCGACCAGTTGTGTAACCGGACCCTGACCAAATGGGTAACCGCAAGCCTAGCAAGCAAACATATCATCCAATACACACCAAGCCAAACAAACAGCCCCAGAGCCCAACCAAACGCTCTTCCTAGCCCTACCAAACAAACCCTTCCTTAGCCCTACCTAACAACCCTCCCATACCTTAACAACTAACTTTGGAGCCAAAGCAAAAAACAATTGAGCCCCATACAAAAAAGAAACCTGGAACTCCTGCAAAAATAAAACAATGAAGCCCTAGAAAATAAACATGTACTCAGCCATTGCAAAGAAACAACGATGATCTAGCAAAGAAATGTGAGGCACTAGCACACAACCCCTGGAGCACAACTATGCATGAATCGAAGCCCGACCATGCACAACCCGAGGCCCAAGTGACACCCCCGGAGCCCGACCAGTTAAGTAACCGGAGCCCGACCAGTTGTATAACCGGAGCCCGACCAGTTATTTAACCGGAGCCCGACCAGTTGTGTAACCGAAGCCCGACCAGTTGTGTAACCGGATCCCGACCAGTTGTGTAACCACAAGCCTAGCAGCATATATCTCATTCAACCCCCCACCTAGCTAACCAGCCCCAAACCCCAACCAAACAAAAATCTCCTTAGCCCTACCTAAAACCTTCCACTTGCCTAAGAAACCAACTATGGAGCCATAGCAAACAAAAAATTTACCTATGTATGAAAAAAATGGATTTCTAGCAAACATATAACCATAGAGCCCTAGCAAGCAAACCTGGAGAACTACTACACAAACAAACCCTAGGGAACAACCATGCACGAACCGGAGCCCGACCATGCACAACCCGAGGCCCAAGTGACACCCCCGGAGCCCGACCAGTTATTTAACCGGAGCCCGACCAGTTGTGTAACCGAAGCCCGACCAGTTGTGTAACCGGACCCCGACCAGATGGGTAACCGCAAGCCTAGCAAGCAAACATATCATCCAATTCACACCAACCCAAACAAACAGCCCCAGAGCCCAACCAAACTCCCTTCCTAGCCCTACCAAACAAACCCTTCATTAGTCCTACCTAACAACCCCTCCATACCTTAACAACTAACTTTGGAGCCAAAGCAAAAAAACAATTGAGCCCCATACAAAAAAGAAATCTGTAACTCCTGCAAAAATAAAACAATGAAGCCCTAGAAAATAAACATGTACTCAGCCATTGCAAAGAAACAACGATGATCTAGCAAAGAAATGTGAGGCACTAGCACACAACCCCTGGAGCACAACCATGCATGAATCGAAGCCCGACCATGCACAACCCGAGGCCCAAGTGACACCCCCGGAGCCCGACCAGTTAAGTAACCGGAGCCCGACCAGTTGTATAACCGGAGCCCGACCAGTTATTTAACCGGAGCCCGACCAGTTGTGTAACCGAAGCCCGACCAGTTGTGTAACCGGATCCCGACCAGTTGTGTAACCGCAAGCCTAGCAGCATATATCTCATTCAACCCCCCACCAAGCTAACCAGCCCCAAACCCCAACCAAACTCCATTCCTAGCTCAACCAAACAAAAATCTCCTTAGCCCTACCTAAAACCTTCCATTTGCCTAAGAAACCAACTATGGAGCCATAGCAAACAAAAAATTTACCTATGTATAAAATAAATGGATTTCTTGCAAACATATAACCATAGAGCCCTAGCAAGCAAACCTGGAGAACTACTACACAAACAAACCCTAGGGAACAACCATGCACGAACCGGAGCCCGACCATGCACAACCCGAGGCCCAAGTGACACCCCCGGAGCCCGACCAGTTATTAAACCGGAGCCCGACCAGTTGTGTAACCGAAGCCCGACCAGTTGTGTAACCG